TGACATTTTTCTCCAACTGCTCTCACTAATTAGTAGGAGCGTTCTAACAGGGTTTATTTTGAGTTGGCGTTTCTCTTCGTCCTCCTACAGGATGCGTGGGTCACGTACACCGACCCCCAGCCGTTAACATCGTGTTCACCTTTAAAGTAATGGACTTACGGCACTTAAGAAATGAGACCAGAGCAGCGGAGGCAGATTCAGCACCACGGACAGCTCTGCCTCACTGATGATGGTGGAGAGAAGTGAAGATCCAGATGTTTGTTTAAGATTTTGGTTTTGTTTCATTTAGCTTCATTTTTATCAACTCTTATCTTGACACGCTGGGCTTTAGATTTCAAACATTTCAGGCTGTTGTTCATTCCAGGATTTATACAAACGTAACGATTAAGTGCTGATGTAAAACACACTGGATCTCAGCGGAACGTTAGCCACCGCTAAGGCCGGCAGATAGCGGCGTGGTGCTGAGAGGCGCAGTGTGAGGAGAGTGCGATCTGATGGATGAGTGGTTGACAGCTGGAGGATGGAGTGATGTGTGTGGATGGAGAGCTGCCAGCTGAGCTCCACTGATCGTTTCCTCACCAACGATTGAAGAATTAGGAGATCGTTTGTCAAATTTGACGGATTATTTAAACACTTGTCAGTAACGAGGCTACTCATAAAAAAAGAAATATAAATATATGTAAATATGTTGAACCAAACCCGTGGCTGCCTGAAGGTAATTATAAAGTGTCCAGATCTGGGTCAGTTTTATAAACATGGGTCATCAGCCCCCGACCCTCACACACTCTCTCTCCGAGGTGCGGTTTTCAATTATCCTAATCAATGTTAGTTCTGGCCGCGGCCACGGAAATAAAAGGAAATTATAGAAGGCTGTAAAACACTGGTGGAGAGTTCGACTGTTTATCACCAAACGCCTTTTATCTCAACAGCCCTCCTGCCAAAATCTCACTTAAATATTATTGCACTATATAAAGTATACTGCAAAGTAAAAGACCACAAGTAACTGTAGAGCCAGTACTTTGGAAAATTACTTTCCGGAATAATAAAAAAAAAAATCTTAATTGAATTTTAATGAAGTTAGATTTAATGATTAATCCATGGTTAATGTTTACACTTTTACTTTTTTCAAACAGAACTTGACTTTAACATTATTGGAGCAAAATGTCTTTGAAATATTTGACTTGAAGTTCCTCAGGACGTTAATAAGCTGTAAAGTAAAATCAAGAGCCCTTTAAATTCTCCAGAGCAGCTCAGATCCTGATGTTGAACTCTGTTCCTCTTCTGCTCTCAGCCTCTGAAGCTTCACTGTGAGCTCTGCAGCATCGTCTCCAGCTCCGGACAGATGTTGGGTCAAGGTGCGGGGCCGGAGATCGATCGCTCTCCCTGCATCTGGAGGATGAACAACGCCCCCACCCGAGGCTTCGAGAAGGACGTGGGCCGGCGGACCACGTTGAGGGTGGTGTCCCACACCAGCGTCCCCCTGCTGCTGCAGAAGCCCCAGTACTTCTTTGGCCAGGCCAACGACACCATCTACGTGGTGTGGGGGCCGCTGAGGAACATGAGGAAGGACGGGAAGGGCATCGTCTACAACATGCTGCGTCAGGCCGTGGAGAACTATCCAAACGCACGCATCTACGTCACCACGGAGGACAGGATGAACCACTGCGACATGGTCTTCAAGAAGGAGACGGGAAAAGACAGGTGAGCACAGACCCCCGTCGTTCAGTCACACACCGTCTGTAGCGCTGACAGATTCACACTCAGAGCTCCGGGTTCTCCACCGTCGTTAGATCGACCTCGTCTTTGCTGACGGTCAGAGCTCTGAGCTCTGAGCTCAGGGCTTTCCCTTCTTTTACATCCTTCTTTTGATGAAGAGTTACTTTGATTTCCCTCTGAAGACGTCGGTCACGGCACTGGAGACGCTTTTATTTTAAAAGGAGTATTTTACTGGTTCTGGCTTCAGAGTGTACACCTTCAATAATGTAGCGGTTAGTCCTGGGTTGGATCCAAGAAAAACGACATACTTGGCGCCTCCAGGGGGCAGCGTGTTGCAGCAGATCTGCTGTTGACGCAACAATTTCCCCCGTGTGGGATCAGTAGAGTTTATGAAATAATGCTTAAAATTGAAATACACACGTCATCATGTAGAAAACGGACAAACTGCTGCTGTCGGTGTCGTTGTTGTTGATTGGATGACGGGCCTGGTTTCTCTGACCTGTGCTCCACACGTCTGTCTCTGTCCTCACATGTCATCAGGAGCTCTTTAACATCATAAGAGGATTAGTGTGTTTGGTAATAGGCACATCATCCATTCCACTCCGGCTCCATTGTCTGGTGCTTATCCAGGATGACAGGGTCAGTGCTGAGATTTCATGTCAAATGTTCAGCCGCCGCCGCCTCTCCTGAGCACAGATAGAGACGTGGGATTAAAGAGGGATAAAGAAGAATTCCATTACAGGAACAATGTCCCTGGTTGTAATGCAGCGCGTCAGTCGTTACTGATGGGTAACAGAACCTGGTGGGTTTGAACAATGAGCCACGTCTGTTTGTAGATGCTTTTGATGCTTAAAAATAAAATAAAATCAATATTTTTGGGATGTTAACTATTGATCAGACAATCTTTGAACGTCGACCTCTGTGTGTGGTTAGCGTGGTACGAATTGTGTCAAGGTCGCAGCTTTGTTTGGGTCACTGCCCCCTGTGGTGACCTCTGCTCTCCTCACAGAAACAGGTGAATAACAACAGGCAGATCAACATGTGTGTGACAGCAGCTTAGATTCATGAGGCTGAAGTCGGCCGCGGCCTCTCTGTTATCAGCTCCACCTCCTGAGCTGCAGTTGTTGGCTGTCTGACCACATCGGCGTGGCCCTGTTAGCTGCTGTAGATAACACACCCAACAACGACACGGGACTTAAATCACGCTGTCACTTCACTGCCACCACCACCGGGGCCAGCGTGTCCGGGCTCTCTGCTCCTCGGACACTGGCTGTTCTTCTTCTTCTTCTTCTTCTTCTGTGTTTGTGCTCCAGTCCACTGTTGTTGTGTTCAGGACAACAGGAGCAGGCAGGAGCAGGAGCCTGTGTTGATGAATCCTGCAGGGGCAGGAGCAGGGGCAGGAGCAGATCAGCAGCCTGTGTTGATGAATCCCGTTTCACAGAGAACAGATCAAATGACTCTCCTCAGGTACGCTGCCCTGTTTACACTGTGCGCAGCATTTCATTGTATGTGTAATTGCTTTGTGCATTGGACGAGCACAGAGGAAGAGTCTCCTCCAACTGTGGGGACGTCGTCTGTTGTCTCGTGTAGACAAGGAGACGGGGAAATCGTGTTTGCAGCAATCCTGTAATTTCATGCTTTTCATTTCAGGAGAAAAGAGAGTGGGATGATGCTTTGTTCACCCTTCCCCCCCTCCACTTTCACCCACAGAGTTTGTCACTGAAGGCTAGCGTGAAATGACTTTAACGATTTTGCTCTGAAGGCTCATAATTGCCGTGAAATGACAACGGTTAAGGAGGTCGTAGAACCGCACGACTTCTGGAGATGACAATAGAAAGAAAAAAAAAGAACTCACCTGGTCTTTGTCAGTGTTCTGGTGACCTGGCATGAAAATGTAATCAGGTTTTTTTTGTACAGACTAAGATGCTTAAGTGGAATACAGGTCTTTAAGTCCATTTGCTGAAGGGTTTGTGGAGAAGAACACGGAAAAAATCAGACGCTGCTTCTCACTCACCGTGGACCGTCTGTGAATTATCTGTAGATGTTTTTTGGTTTTGATTTTGTGAGTCATGATCTAGAGAATAGTGGAGCACAGAATATTTACCCTGGACTCTCTGTTTGTAAGGCAGGCGTGGTAACCGCTACACCATGGAACCATGACGTCGTGATGTCATGTTGCTCGTCTGTTCACCCTGAATGTTTTAGATATTAATCCTTCGGTCGAGCTCCTTTTTTTGAATAACATCAGTTGGTTATTGTAGCAGTGTAGACAGAGGGAGGGGGGGGATGGGGGGGGGGGACTTGATCTACAGCTCCACGGAGACAAATCTTCCACATTCACTCCATGAACCAGGTGTCAGTGGGAATAACCAGCACCTGATGAGTCTGTAGGGTTGGCAGACAACAGACAAACCAAACAGAAAACAGAACCAGCCTCTTCATCGGTGTGTGCTGGATGTTGTCGTTTCACCCAGGCATTCTCAGCCTAATTAAGCATTTTATAGCAGTTATATTTGGCTCATTAGAATTGGCTTTATTTTCAACACTCCAAAAAAGTCACAAAATACATAAAATTCAATTGGCTGAGAATTAACAGTGAAAAGCAAAAAAAAAAAAAAGGAAAAAAGCACAGGTCGTTTTAACAAAAGGCAATTGGCTGCCCGCTGCTCACCAAGGTTAAAGGCAGAGGTCACATGACATCATATGATGAAATACCACTTCAACTTTCACAGAATCAGGTCCAGTTGAACCTAAAATCTTTTATGCAGCTGCAATAAGTGAAAAGCAAAAGTTGTTGTAAAAAATCTATGCATAGATTTTTCCAAGGTTTTCTCTCGCTGTTTGTGTGTGTGTGTGTGTGTGTGAGCTGAATGTTCTTCAGGTGAAGGCTGCAGGAGAGGGGACTGGACTCTGACTCACATCTAGAAATCCTGCTTGTTGTTAAAATACTCCGATTTGATGAGAAAGAAAAGATTTTCATCATTATTTGCATGACTGTTACCTTTTGGAAAATGACATTTCTGGATTGGTTTGTCATCAGTCGCTGGGCGTCTAAGGAGGTTTCCTGCTGCGGATGTTTTCTGCTTTTTTAAAATTGACTTTTGTAAAACAATGACTTCAATAATTAGCTTTTTTTTCTGTGTGGATCGGGAAAAAGCTAATAATAGTTCATTTTTGATGCAGTACGAGGAAAAGATGCAGGAAGAACGACGAGTCAGGGCTTGGACTGTGAGAAATGAGACATTTTCGTAGTCAGTAATTCATGGACTTTCATGTCCTATCATCATAAAAAGTCACATTTTGCACCTGGTCTGCGTGCTTACGTTTGAATTATGAAGGAGTACAGTGTAGTACAGACTCACAGGCAGTCGATGAATGAACAAGTAGATCTGCTGTTGTGTAAATGTGTCAAATTACTGCCTGTGTGAAGTGTTAAAGGAAGAATAATCACCCCATTATTCCGTCTGTCACACCTTTCAGATTTTCAGATTTGTATTCAGGCGTCACTCCGGCTCCTCCATGATGTGGAGCGATGATCAGGGAAATGGAAAATAAGGGCAGCGTGCACCGAGAGCGCCGTGTTCTCAGAGTTCCTCCGTGAGGGTTTTACATATTCCGGTGGTAACACGTTCCTTTGTGCGTTTGCCGTAAATCTTCTTTACTGTAAGAGAGGAGGAGCAGGAGCAGCCGGGGCCATCGGGGAGCGCTCTAACAGCACCATAATGATTGGACTCTTTGTCATGGGGTTGTTGAAGCGCTGCACTAGAAAGCAGCCGGGAGGAGGAGGAGGAGGAGGAGGCCGACTTCTCCTCTCTGTGAGAGTGAGATTAATTGGTTATTGAGCCTTAGAATCAATGGTAATAAGTAGTTCTGTGGGTGATTCTAGAGCAGCTCTGTGTCTTGATCTCCGTCTCTGGAGAAATCACTTCAGCTGCTTCTGGTCAAATACACCATTAAAACATTGAATAGCAGCTGAAGCTCCTGTCGTCGCCTCACAGTGTTCCTCTAATCCTGCGTCTCCTGGTCCTGCGTCCACTCAGAGAACGGGCCTTCCTGTAATCCCAGCCTTCTTCGTCTGTGGCCGCTCCTCATCCACAGCCTCTGAAATATTTATTCTTCTTATTCTTTTCATTTCCGATCGGTTCTTCAGCTTGGTGGTGTTTTTATTTCAGGCCAGGTGTTAGTCATGGATCTGAGGGACGGAACCTAGGACGCAGACGTTAAAGTCTGCCACAAGAGGGCAAACACAAATACAAAACACAAATTTTCACGGATGTGGAGGTGTATAAGTTTAATGTCTGGCATTTCACATAAAAAAGTGACAGCACAGAGTTGTGGAATAGTAATATTTAACTTACCATCCTCCCTTTAAAAAAATGTAAAATCTTCCTCCGGCAATTTTTAAAAAAATCATCTGCAGAACCTTCAAAAGTTCTTAAAAAGTTTCTATGACAAGTGTCAGAAATATACACTGTGAGGCTGCGCTCACGTCTGCGTCTCCATAACACCGTGGCGCTGGTTTAGCTAACGAGAGAACGGTTAAAAAAATAGATCAAAGATGTAAATGAGGAGTAAAAAGAAGTGACTGCGGATGAATTGAAGCGGTGGCAGAACGACAGCACGTGTGCAGAGTTCACTGGGTCGAACGAGTGAAAGGATGAAGGAGCAGAGAAATGAATAAAACGTGACGTCGGCGCCGCCGCATCGGAGGCTTTTAAGACAAAGCCTGGAAGGTGTCGGGGTCTATTCCCTCCGCCGCCGACTCATAGTATCTTTGACAAATGTGAACCTTTCATTTACACCGGCGTTGAATAATGCAGCGCTGCTTTTCATCCAAACACTTGTTTTGTGCTGCAGTGAAGTGAGTTCAGGTCTGGGCGCAGGTCCTGGACAACGACGGGATTTTGCTGGTGCCGTCTGTTTGTCAGAGCTCTGATAAGTGGAGCTAATGGGCTTTAAACCACAAGATGTTTGAGTAAACGCTG